GAGCACCTATCGCGCGCACGCGCGCGCGTCACACTATTTGGGTCACGCGGCGCGGCGCGCCGCGCGCGGGCGCGACGCGCGATTTATTCGACTCCGGCTCGAGACTCTCGAGACTCTCGAGAGTGCGGTTCACGACGACTTGGATCTTGGGTGATCTCTGCCGACGATGATCCGGGTGCACGAGTACTTCCGCGTCCTGGGCGCCGATCATGTAACTTCGAACAGAACCTTTCATTTTCCGCCCATTCTGATTCCGCGTCAACTTTTCGCTAATCACGCAACGAATACAGGTCGATTAATCCGGGAATGATCACCTGAAGTATTTTTATACATCCCAGCTGCGAAAAAAATGTGAATTATTGTAAAATGTTTTCTCTATCTATTATAGAAGTTTAATATTGAAAGATAATGCAATTAATTACTTACTAAAAACACTGTTCACAGTATTTTTAATACTCAAAATAAATAATTTTTTGTATTAAACTGCATTTCTATAAGCGATATTTAATATGTTTTTTTTTTTAATAACTATTTTTTGCGAACTTTTAGATATGTAATTCCGTCGAAAATCCGCAATGGAAAAGCGTTATATTTATTAAAATCTTTATTTTTTATACTGTCATAATAAATTATTTAATGCATATTTCCGTTTAACATTTAGTTCCTAGTTACTAATTTTTAGAAATCTAGTTAAATTCACATCCATAATAATATTCTCAAATACTAATAAATCGGAAAATAATCGATAATGTACAATATATTATTAAGAATATTGATTTTAATTGGAGTATGAAAACACTTCAGATAATCGAAAAAAAAAATTAGTTGACTATTTCCGGGTTTAATGTACCGATGACGCAATTCATCATCGCATCATGGCTTACCACTACAAGAAGCCACTGACGCAACGTCATTAATATATTATTATACGTTAAGCTTTGTTATTTCATTGGCTTCTATCATATAAGAACGCCATTGTTTGGCTGTTAAGAGAAGTTAGGATGATGCTCTTATATCAGCGGGTTTTTTGTTTTTACGTTGCTAAAATACGTTAAACTAAATTGTATAAGCAAATTCCATTAATGACTTCTAATGATCTTCTTGTCACTGAAAATGTTGTCGGCAATAAAAGTATCAAAGAGTTACATGAACGTACGGAATTGAGTTTGAATTTTTTATTTTTCACGGTTTGTTTTTCTAGGGAAAAATTACGTGACTCTACCCTGATCAGTTTTCCTAAATCCCTTTTTTATAATGACAAAAAGTTCATGTAAAGGAAAGGATATTTTGTTTAGTTTAATTTAGAGAAAACAATAGGTTTTTAGCGTTTAGGGAAAGAACGATGACAAGAAATCGTTTCTTATTCGCGAAAACTCAAACGAGTTAAAAAATTTTAAGGTTTTTTTGAATTAACGATATTCTCAGCCTAATCTTATATTTAAGATTGCCTTGAGTATAATCTCGAAATACAATTGACTGAATGAAGTGTTAAGACCATCTCAGATTGTGAGATTAGATTTCGACTGGTTTTCTAGCGAAAGTAAATCGGAGCGCAAAAGAGTATCTACAGTAAAGCAGTAAGCCTTAAATCGTAAAAAATTGGTCAGTCATATTCGATTATTCTCCTCACACTCGACGGTTAATCAATTTCTTACGGTTTGCTCTATAGACACTGCGTGTAAGTCGAATGTAAGGGAAGAGATTAAGATGATGTTAAAATAAAGACAAACTATGTGAATACACACACTCTAATAAAAATAAAAATTAAATTGTAAGTTAAATGTAAAGGTGGAGTAACAGAATCGTAAACGAAGCTTCTAGGAAACAAAAATTGAGACATTTATATATAAAAAAGAGCGTAAACACCTCGTTTACATTCTATCATCTCAATTTTCGTTTCCAAAGAGCATCGTTTACGCTTTTGTTACTCCCCTTTACATTCGACTTACACACTTTAATTTTTATTTTTTAGTACAGTATTCATAATCTGGTCTTATTTTAAGATCATCTTAAGCAACGACTCAAGATGCTAATGATTCTGTGATTGACTTACATCTCTTAAGATGTCATAAATCACAAAACTGTATTAGCATCTTAAGAAATTAAGTCTATATTTAAAACGGTCTTAAATATAACGATTAACTATAAATATCAATCTTAAAAATTATACCAGATTATAAGTACTATCCTAAGTAAAATAGTTAAATTAGTAGAGCAAATGTGGTAAAACAATTTACTTTGCAATGTCGCTACGTCTGCAGTAAATGCATAACTATCTGCTATTTATGTTTGAATGATGTATATTATAGATTTATGAATGGAGGCATGATTTATGGTTTTTGCCGATAACAAGCAATTTCAAATTTTGTAGTAGCATTCACGATACTTGCCAGGATCTTCTCAATTCTCCAAAAAGAATCCCATATCGGATCCTCTTCTAATTTTCGAGAATGAATACCGGTACGTCTCAAGCTGATCATCTTCAATATTGAAAGCATATTGGTGCAAACAATTGATTACAATAAGGCGCGAGATGTTCGATGGAAGTGTTATTGCGAAACGCATCCTTTGCCTAGAATGGCCTAGATTCTCAAAAGATCTCGAAGAGATATTGCGGGAGTCTGATCGCGCGTCGATCTTCTCCGCTATCCGCGACAACGATGTTCCGCCGATCGACCGGATCGCCAATTTTCCGCTTTCTCTGTCTCCACCCTCGACTTTATTCCGCGCGCGAAAGCCACCACCTGCTGGCACAGTTACGTGCTACGACGTTTTTACCTTAAAGCAACGTTGGATACACGTTCGAGCATGCGCCTCTGGAAATGGGTCATTAGGAGCTTGACCGAAATCTTCGGCCAGGATTTCGCGCTAGTTTCTTAAACTCACCGATCGTTAATCGACGAGAAGCGGCGCGTGACTTGCGCGTTTTAGACACTGTTGAAAGACAATCCTCGCGAGCCTTTTCGTCAAATAAAGAGGTCGACTTAAAGTTACTTTTGCATTTACTCTAAATAACGAAAAGAATAAATAAAGAAAGAAATAATTATTTGACAATTACTATTGGAAACAAAATTTAATATTTTATAGAAATTTTTGTTGAAATAACATTTAAAATTTCTATACGTATTTATACATAAATAATACTTTTATCAAATCTCTTCTATTATAATAAATAATTAATTACATGATTTATACCATAAATTTAAATCCTTGCTAAACACGTGTAGAATTAAAATAAAAACATTTTAATACATACATTTGCACGCATTTTAAAGTTTATTCTAAGTGCTTCTTGTCAAAATATTTTATCTATAAACACTTTATAATATAATAATAATAATAATAATAATAATATACTGGGCAATTTTTAAATATTTTAAAAGATGTAGAAGGGGGGGGGGATAATTTCTCACATTAATCAAGATGAAAACTTCATATTTATATGCTCGAAAAAATTTATTATTATAATTAGTATTAAAAATGTCAAAATTGAAGGACAAATTTTATTTTATCATAAAATTTTAAATCATTCAGGTTATTTTAATGAAACTTTCATGTTTCTAAAACATACATAAAGTTTCATCAAAATAACTCAAATAATTTTCGAAATTTTTTGATAAAAAATTTTATTTTCAACTTTGGCTGCGTTCCGTTGCACGCATAATGTGCACGATGTATCATTTTACCATTCTCTCTCTTGTCCGCAGAATATTACATGAATAAAAATGATAAATCATGCACATTATGCGTGCAACGGAACGCAATCTTCGACATCCTGTGTCTTTGAATATAATAATAAACCGTTTCGGATATGTAGCTATATATATAGCCATATGAAGTTTTGCCTTGAATTTAAAAAATATAAGAAATCACCACCTTAAAATCTCATAATCTATTTAATGATTAGCCTGTATATTGTACATATATAAATGTATACATATAATAAAATATTGTATTCCATTACATATACTATATTATTATGAGAAATTAATTGTTATTAAATTATTACCGAATAATCAATAATTATGACAGGTAAATAGTTACATATGAAATACTCGCCTCTGCGAATATACCTCAATATGCATGCAACACACGCACACACGCACACACGCAACTAACAGGTTCAGTCTGCTTAACACGACATAATGTCTACTGTTGTTGAAATTATGCTAATGCCAATTATGTGCAATTACAATATTCAGTTTATCTAGATCATATTACTTGGAAAGCGTAGGCTATCATGTATGAAATACGCATTACGAATGGATGCTTCGTTTTATGCCGTTTATCACTAATACTATCAAGCATTTGCATAATATAAGAAAAAGAAAAGTAATTTAAAAATTGATAAATAATGAATTGTAATGTTTTTATTATTTTTATATAATCATATATTTCATTTTGCTTCTATAACACAACACAAAAATATTACTCTATTCGACATAATATTATATTAATATTATGCAGATAAATTAATCGTTGAGAAAGCACGCTGTGTATTCCTTTTCCGATCTCTTTGATCGTCGTTTGTTGAATTTTCAACATCAGCTAGGGAATCATAGTGGTTTCAAATTAAGAAAAAGAATGGTTTGAAACAGACGGTGCGACACGTTTGTTTAGTCTTTAGTCTCGGCATGCAGCTAACATACAAAGTTTAAGTTACTTGCTTGAAAATCTCGCCTCAGCTGTTGAGTTAGTTATTTATGAATGTTTAATTAATTCTCATGTAGAATGAAAATTCGATTTATTATTAGCTTATTCATTATATTATATTTGAATTATTCGGATTATATGTATTATTTATTTTATAATTCCGTTTCTATTAAATAGGATTTAAATAACGTAACGAAACATACTTAAATATACTCTACTGGAAGAAAAGTTTATAGTTACATAAAACATTTTTCCTCATTTTATTTATTTATTATATGCAAACGGAATTACTTATACGGAATTACTTTAGAAAAATCATATAAACGCTGTTAAGTGCTGATCTCGTAGTTGAAATGAAATTATCATTAATTATTTTATTTGACAATTATCTATCTTTTTATTGCCAGAATGAGGATCAATTTTTGATAGAGAATATATTTATCATTGTTATATGCGAAATTGTAATTGTTATAAAAATGTTCGCAATTTATATGGATTTATCTTCTTGGATACATTTGTTGATCCAAGCCTGATAGGGATAAGTTCGCGTGAATACATCTGGTTGTTCCTTAGCGCAGGGTACTCCCCAGGACACTATGCCTATCTGCACATTGCCAGCCACCAGAGGACCGCCAGAATCACCCTACACACATATAAAGAATATAACCAATTTTTTTTGGTAAACGTTATTCTGACTATTTTTGACAAATATTAATTGTAATTGTAATTTATACTGCATACACATATTATCGAATTGTATTGTGTTTAATTAAAAACAATTATTGTGATTAAATTAATATATTATGCGATGTATATTTTATATTTAAAACATATTATCTTTAAAAAATATATATAATGATACATTGTTTCTATACTTTAAAATATATACTGTTTCTGTAATTAAAATAATTTAGAATTTTTCAAGTTAAAAATTCTTCAATTACAATTTTCAAACATTTAACATATCGTGCTAAATGCTATCGATATATATTTGTAAAATGTACGATATCACGCGGCTTCCCATATAACGAAAGGGCTCTCTTCCTAAATACTCAATCAAATTAGAATTTACTTACGTGACAAGCACCTTCGCCCCGTTTGTTGAGTGTGCAGATATTATTTTTGGTGACGCGAAAACTACTAGCTACGCATTGCTTTTGATTGATGACTCTGAGCTGGATATAGTGTAAATCGTTCGGCGTCTTTCCCGGATACTGTAATAATCCATACATAAATAATTATTTAAATTAATGCAAAAAATAATTGTTTAAATAATAATTTGAATTACTAAATAATCATTTTAACCCACTTTATTATTAACAAGGAATACTGAATGTTTCAAATGTATAGAAAACGAACAATTGATCTTATTATTATATGTGTATAATGTATATGCATGTATTGTTATTATAATTTATAAATATGCAAGGCTGAAATGTTTGTGTGTCTCAATATAATAGACAAATAGATAAATATTTTATATTTACACTAGTAGTACCCCAGCCCGACAATACAGCCGGATAATCGGATTTGTCAAAGTCTTTGGTGGGCAGAGCAATTGGTTTTACTTTGTCTCCAAAAACGATATCTTTATTCACTTTAATTAATCCAATGTCATGCCAGATGAAGAAAGAATTATAGTAAGGATGTATCCATTTCTTGATCGAGAAGTACCGATCGCCGCCTTTGTCTAGAGTATTTGTGCCCAATACAACCGTGATAGTTCTGTCTTCAAGACTGTAAATAAAAATTATAAAATTCTATGTAATAATTAGCCGTATATAATAATTCTGTCAAACAATTATCTCTTGCTGTAATATTAGGCATAATATTATAATACAAAAATTTTGAAGCTTATTTATTTTTGAGAAGATAATGACAATAATTAGTCAAAATTAATTACATATTATTATTAATTACATATTGTTTTTAATATAAAATAAATTTTTAAATACGTAATTAATTATACATGTGTTAGGAAAGTATGTTGTTTAATTGTTTATATGAATATATTATTATATATAAAATAATCTATTTTAAGAACAGTTGTCACATATACCCTGACAAGCAATGACTAGCTGTAAGGATGAATCTTTCACTTATCACGGAACCTCCACAGAAGTGCTGATCGTTTAAACGAAGAGATGCTTGATAAGGAAATTGTCCTTCATCGGCAAGGTTACCGCCCACGATTTTTGGGATTTGTTGAACTGACTCGTCGGCTACGCAATTATAAAAAAACTTTTCATGTAAAAATATATTACTTCGTAATATCTTATTTTTTACTTAAAATAGAATTATGTTCAATATTAATTTACATCAAATTTTTCGAATAATTTTCATCTTTTTATTATTATTGTTTAATTTAATAAATTGAAAAAAGATTCTAATGTGCAAATTGCATCACACACAAATGCAATAAATTAATAATTATTGCGATAAATTATTGATAATAAATTGCAATAAATAACAAAAAATAACAATATCTAAAATAAACTTTTAGTTTTATTTAATACTTAGTTTTATTTAAGATTTAAATATAGATTTAATTTATATGTAATTTAAAACTAAGGATGTATCCGGCTAATATTTAGTTTTCGACAATATATACGGCCGAAATTTTATATTGAAAATACGATGCATTGTGGTGTGAATATCTAAAAACTTTTATTATCACTGATATATTTTTTTAGAAATATATCAGTTATAACAAAAGTTTTGACTTGTAAAAAAATATATCAGTAATAAAAATTTTTAGGATATTTACATCATGTTATACATCATTTTAATATAAAATTTTGGATGTATGTGCCAGAAACCACAGATGCTAGCCAGATATCCGGTGCATCTCTAAATAAAATCATTTTCAGTGAAAATGGATCTTAACAGTTGAATTTTACAACAATTTATTACAAATTTATGATCTAAAAAGAAAAGATCCTCTATATATATTATTAGTTAATATTTTTTGAATATGTGTGTTAATATGTAATAAAATTTCAATGTATAGAAATATATAGGAATCTTATAATATATTCTTACCTGACAATTCATGTAAATTTGCAATAATACTTAAAATGTAGAGTATCGATAACATTTTTAGTAGACAATAAAGTCAATCAGTAGAGCTTTACTTTGTTTTCTATAGCGTAGTTCGATGATTTAATACCAATTAATTTTTACACTCGTTTACTACTAGCTCTTATATACGCAGTAAACGGTGATAATTAAGGAAATGTTGGACATTTAAATTTAGGTCAGACACCGCCCATAAAAAGAAAATACATTGTCCGGATGTATCTCATGCGCGATGTGATAGGTAAAGTGATATACTGCCGTGCCGGTAGCTAGGAAAATTTATGACCGGATATAATTGCTATCGTTGCTGTATAAAAATGCGTACTGCTGAAATATATAAATTGTAATTTAAACTCGATTTGGACTATTAGGCGATGGAGATGGTAATAATCAATAATCAATGACGATGGCAATAATCAATAATTAATGATAATATATGTAATATAAAGTCTAAATATATTGAATTATTAGAATTTATTTAGATAATTTGCTTACAGATACATTATATTTTTATGAGTTTAATAATGAAATAAGTAAAAGCATCATTTGCATATATTCTTCTATTCTTCTATTCTTTCGCATTTATTTATATTTTATTATTGTGATTTTACGCAATCAGAATTATTTGTAAAAAAACTATGAAATTATTTTATTTAAAACATATTTTTCCCTGTTGTTTTATTATTTTCAGTCAGATATTTTCAAAGAACACAACTTAAGACAAAATATAATTACATAATTAACGATACAATTATGCGGCGTAATTATTGATACAAAAAATACTAATTATTACAGAATTTAGAAAAATGTTTAATTTAATAAGAATATAAATAATAAATTTATTTAAAAAAAACTTTTGTAATACATGTACACGTGTTTAGATTCTCAGTAAGAAATAACTTGAATCGATGTCGAATCGATATCGATAATCCTGACTGCAATTCGATATCGACGTCTAATTGGCTATCGATTATTTTTCACCGTGTCATGCGTATTCTTCCACTTATTATAAAATATATAATTAATATTAATTAATATAAAAAAATATACATTATATGAATTAATTTATATGAAATACATTATATGAAATGTATTGACGATATTTTTAAAGATTACGTCTTGCATGTTTGTATGAAGAAAACTTGAGCAATGACTTTATTCCGTATTGCGAATTTGTCGCAAGCAAAACGTGTTATATTCCGCGATAATTTTATATTTCGCAATATCACGTCATTAGTTATTCAATTTCACGGCGAGCGATATGCACCAGAGATATTTATAAAATTCACTTCAACCTCACACTTATCTCCTAATACATTTGCCAAGTCTGGTGATTCGATAACGCGTGTGTTTCTTTGATATGCTACCATTCTGACGCATTTCCTTAAAAATTCAACGAATTACTATAAGTCGAAAAAAACACGAAAAAAAAAGAAATAAAACAAAATAATAAGAGAATAAAATAGAGAATTAATTTAAAAATAATATCAAAAAATCTTATTTTATCCATACAAATACTGTTCGTACAATTTTATATTTTAAATAAACTTTCGTTTGTTTGCGATTTAAATAAGTATGAATTTGAATACATATACGTCATATAGTATATACAATCATTTATCTTCTTATATTCGTTTATCTTACTGTATCCATTACACTTATTATTGACCTTTGGACGAAAGATTGAAAGTTACAATCCTCTTTCGTGTAAATACCTATAAATACTTACATATAATTATAAACTAACATATAATTATACAAGGAAACATTTCGAAGGTAGGTCGCAGAATTAACAGACACAATATTATTGCATTTTAAGTTTTTTTTTTTTTATTAAAATAAGTTGAAAATAACGCGAATTGCGACGTTGCATTGTCAAAGAGTCAAAGCCTACATATCGCGCTGAAACTGAAACATTCGCATCAATATCCGACATATTGTTATTCCAAGCGCGAAGTTTTGCGTTTGATCTCGACTTCGACGTTGACCCGTGCACGGTGTTTCGCAACGCCCGTAATCACGCCTAAACGAAGTCCGTATAAAATATGTAAATATAGATACTCACAACCAGAAATTAGAAATAAAGACGACACCGTTTCGCTTATGTTATATAATAATAAAAATAAATAAAAATAAAAAAGCTCATAGCAGAGCCTTTATCATGTGCTATATCGACTGCGTTCGGTTTGGACATTCACCCGTTGTAAATTTCACTTTATCTTCTTTCCGCAAGTAATACGATAAAGATAGAATGAAACTTACAGCGTGTCAGTGCCCAAACTAAATGCAGCCATTGTGTCTTTCTTCTCTTTTTTTTCTTTTTTCTCTTAAACAATGTAAGCAATCTTAGTGAATATTTTGCAAAATACAAAAGCTACATTATTTCGATTTATTACCTGTAGACTCCCTTGCCCATAGGTAACAAATGTTTTTTAAGTATCTATAAAAAGTAAAATTGTAACTTTCGCATAGATGTCCAGTATCACGCAATCCGCAATAGTTTTCATTATATATATATATAT